TACGATTTATTCAGCATTTCATAACATTAACTTTCGCCATTCCTAATATAGCAGAAGAATAGGGAAAGTTATTGTTGTGAAATGACGTGGACTAGTTGGAGAATTCTTTTGAACAAATGTATATTAGTTCTTTTTTCCTTTCTTGCACTTTGAGTGTAATGAATAAAAAAATAATTAATTGAATAGATAGTTGGCACTTTTTTAGACGCTGTTATTTTCCTATGCTAGCCAAAGTACAAATTCTCTCAACTAGAAGTGGAAGCGAATGATGATTTTTTTGCTCAAAAAGTCGGAAAAATGATGGCATTGGATTTATATATACAATGTAATACATACAAGTGGAAATGGCTTTTACCATAGGTCGCGCACCACGATGCGGTTTAGAATGCAGGTGACAGATCTGCCTTCTCTGCGGAATTATACTCAAGAAAATTTTAGAGCTTTCTATCCGCGAAAGTTGGATTAGTGATAACTAGCACCAAGTTCGGCCGGATACAACAGCACAAAGATCTTTCGACCGTGACGGAAAGCTGCTCGAAAATGAGCGTTTGATTGCTGTTTAGACTCAACTTTGAACTTTCGTACAATTCTACAAGTCTAAATGCCATTTTGACAAAATAGAAGAAGCTTATCTTCTTGATAGTAGCGTTATGCTGGTAAAAGAGACTGATTTGAAATAGCTTTAGGCTATTTCCTGATGCACAACTTATTTAAAAGGCCTATTTGACTTATCTATGTGCCTTTATTAGTCCCGAGATTACTAATTGATTAGATACTCATGTCAAGCTGGTATTATTACTTACGGCTATCTAAGTCATTGCTACGTTTAAGGAACAGTACAATATGAGAAAAACAAACTGTGGTTGACACACAATTTATAGTTATCTAGACCTTTCCAACATTGGGCCGTAGAATATTCAATGTATTTATGTGTTCTGTTAATTGGTGATCAATAATTAATTCTTAATGTAAGTAACAAAGATATTTTGATTTTCACATTATCTCCAATTCAAGATTTCCGTAATGAGGCTCAGGAAAACGCGCTTGCGAAATACAGTATTGGTATGCAAGGTGAACACGGTTTTGTGGCCCAAGCAACAGAAAGAAGGAATTGTCAGAAATTGCGAAGCTTTTGCATGCGACAAATTGGTAACGTTACCATACACATTGATTTTTGCTTTTAAGCTCCGTTTTAAATCATGTTTTACATAAAAGCCCATTCATGCATACATTTGCATTATACATCATTACTGCTTTGCTTCACAATTTCTCTCAAAAGGGGCAGTTTTCTTTTTTTTTTGACTCTTGTTTAAACAAAGGGAGGAGGTATATGTTCAAATGATTTCTGATCATAGCCGTTTGCAAAACGACTCCCTAAAAAGAGTAAAGTTTTTCTCGTAAAATATTGCGTAAATCAACGATGAAGAACCTCCTTGGTAAGAATCTTGCTAAAACTCCTTACCTTCGGAGAAACATTCCATAGACGAGGATGAATTTGATCTATTCAGCTGCTTTTAATAGTGAACCGCCCTTTTTAAATGACTGGATCGATCAATTATCCTTCTTTTTCAGAACATCAGTGCAAATTGTTCTTTCTGATTTCTGCCTTTTCTTAAGAATGATTGTTGGTTTTTGTTTCTCATCGAATGCAATTGCCCTTTACTTCTAACAATTACGGATTCAGTGCACTATTGTGATGAATAAGAGACATTGCTCTTCACACTGCAGTTGCGTTTGAAATAGATAAACAGACGAATTAGAGAAATGATTACTTAACGACAGTTCCCAAAAATTCTTAACTGACATTTTGGTAAAGAAAAAACTGTCAGCGATTCTTTTGCTGATTTCCGTGCGCTGTGCACACAAGTGCTGTATGTTTGCCTCCTCGAAAAGCCCACTCGACAGAGCTAAGAAGAAAAAGTGGAGGGAGAGAAAAATGCTGATGGCGGACACTTGAAAACATCACTTTTCTAGCCATATCATCATACATTAACACTGTACAGAGCAACTTTATTAGCTCATTCTCATTCAGCCGGAAAAACTAAACATAACACCTAAACGAAAAAAAAATATAACACCGGTACGAGAATTTCAAGAGTAGTTGCTTATTAACGCGTTCACTCGCGGTCGACACTCACTACTTTTGGCTCTATATCCCTGAA